CTGGCGGATGCCTCGTGCCCGACAGTAGGCTCGCAGAAGGCCGGAGGAGAACTCTCCGCCTCTGTCCGAGTGCAGGCGGAAAACAGGAAAGTGTGAGCCGAAGCTCTTCCTGAGCTGGAGACGAGCTGCGCGGATCCAGTCGATCAACACCTCAGTAACCTCACCCTTGCTGCGCAAGGGGAAGACTGAGGTGTAACGCGTGTAGTCGTCAACCACCAGCAGGAAGTAGCGCTCGTGACCCTGTCCACGGACGCGGGCTGGGCCCGACACGTCCATGTGAAGCGTCTGCATCGGGGCCTCCGTCGGAGGGAACGGCGAGGAGTGAGGGGTAGCCCGCAGGCGACCCTCGACACAGGGGACACAGGGAGGGCCAAGCCCCGGAGGAAGGGGAGGGAGGGACCGGGGAAGGCCAGAGACAAGAAGGCGAGAGGCCATGCCCCGGAGACGAGGCAGGGAGGGGTGACCCATCCTGTGGTGCCACAGGAGGGTCTCGTGGGACAGGAGGCGACACGAGCAGGGGGCAGACTCAGGACCAGACCTGGACGCTGCAGCAAACACCTGACCCGACGCAGCTACCTGACCAGACGCAGGAGAAGGAGACGGAACAGTGAGTGTGTACAGGCTCGACCCTGGACCACGTGTGAATGTGGTCAGGTGTCGACCCGTGTCCGCGTCCGTGCAGTGGGTGACTCGTCGGCGCGCAGGGGTGAACTGGTCAACCCCTGCATCCTGTAGGTCAGCACCCGCCACCAAGTTCGTAGAGAACGAGGGGAGGTAGAGACCGGACAGGGCGCCAGACGGGACCGCAGGGCACGGCAGGACAGTGGAGTAGCGAGCCAAAACAGGACCCCCAGAGGGGTCTGCCAAGGAGACCGCCACTGGCCGACTAAGCGGCGTGAGTGTGGTGCGGTCTCGAAAGAAGGAGCGAGACGCCCCGGAGTCAAGAGTGAAAGTGAGAGAGGGTGAAGTCGACATAGTACGTGAGAGAGCAGACTCACCAGCATCTGAGGACTCAGACTCACTGGCACCTAGAGCAACAGCCTCACCAGCACCTGGAGCAGCAGCCTCAACAGCACCTAGAGCCGCAGTACCAATGCCCGGGTCGGGCGGGAAACACCGGTAACAGTCACCCTCCTCACTAATAGTCACAGCATACATAGCAGCAAGAATAGCATCAAATTCAAGATCAAAGATAGCTACTCCAGCCCTAGACAGCTGGTCCCAGCGAGGGATCTCAGAGGCGTCAGGAAACTGGCGGCGCCAAGCGTCAGTCAGGCGGCCGAAGCAACGCTGGGTGGAGTGTGGACCACCACACTGCTCACCCGCACGGTCGCCAGTGCGCAGGACGTAAGTGCACGGACCAGTACCCCCACCCCGCTGACGCGCAGAGTACCACTCACAGAGCTGCTGCGGGGAGAGGGTCTCCTGACCACGCTGCTGCTGCTGGCGCTGACCACCACCGGAGCCACTCCTCCTCGGCGCGCCACGACCTCCGCCGCCTCCTCCGCTGCCGCCGCCACCACCTCCACCGCCACCGCCACTCCCACCGTCGCCGCCGCCACCGCCGCCTCCGCCTCCACCCCCACTACCACCGCCGCTGCCGCCCCCGCCTCCACTGCCTCGGCCGACACCTCCACTCCCGCCACTACTCCCGATACCACCCTCACCTCCGCCGCTGCCTCTACCTCCGCCTCCACCGCCCCCGCCGCCTCCACCACCGCCCCTGCCCCCCTTGCTCTTGCCAGAGCGACGTCTCCCGCTGGGGGCAGACGCCGCTCCGAACGACTCAAAACCAACAAGGTCGGCCGTAGCAGCAGAGGCGACAGAGGGCAGGAGGGGGGGAGGGGGAACACCCCTCAAAGATGGGGGTGCGCGGGTCACCACGAGAGGCCCCTACAGCGAGAATGCTCTTCTCGTCTGCGAGGAGGGACTTCTCGAGGATCTCGACAGTGAGAGTGGTGGGGCAGACTGCGAGTAGGTCGTCCCTGACTCCGCGAAGGGAGTCAGGGAGGCGGGTGACAATGTAGTAGAGAGTGAAGTACTGGGGGGGGGGGTTCTTGGCGCAGAACTCAGCAGGAAGTGCAGCGCGGAAGCGAGCGTCACTAGTGCGCAGGTGGGTAATGAGGTCGGCGACTGTGGCAAAAGCAGCAAGGTCGGGAAAGAGGTACGGGAGCATGAGGCGGCTCAGTGCAGCAGTGGCAGGGGTGGAGTAGCGTGCGATAACGGCGTCGTACAAGGTCTTAGCACTCTTGTACGACCCAAAGTGCGCACGCTCAGCGGGAGGGAGGTGGCGACGCACAGCAAGACGTGCAGCAGCATCGCGTGTGGCCCACTGTGAGCGAACAGTGGCATCCTCAGTAGCAGCAGGGGCGGGAGAGGCACCAGAAGTGAGATCAAAGAGAGAGAGTCCGTCAGCTCTGTCGCACTGTAGGAAAAGCAGTAGGTCGTCTACCCACACGTCAAAGTCAATGGCTCTGCCCTCAGCGTCAAAGGCGAGGACATTGGGGGTAGCCATGACAGCAGTAGAGAGAGGGCAGTGCGCAGAGTAAAGCTCAGTGCTCACCAGACAGGGCAGTGCAAGGAGGGCTCGGGCGGCTCGGGCGGCTCGGGCGGCTCGACTGCTGGGCGGCTCGGGCGACTCGGCGGCTCGAGCGGCTCGGGCGGCACTGCAGCTGGGGCGGCTCGGCTGCTGGGGCGGCTCGGCTGCTGGGGCGGCTCGGCTGCTGGGGCGGCTCGGCGGCTGGGGCGGCTCGGCTGCTGGGGCGGCTCTGCTGCTGGGGCGGCTCGGCCGGGAGATGCAGGGGCGGGGCCGTCAGGTGCAGCGGCGGGCCGGCAGGTGCAGCGGCGGGTCGACCGGTGCAGCGGCGGGCCGGCAGGTGCAGCGGCGGGGCCGTAGGGTGCAGCGGCGGGCCGGTAGGTGCAGCGGCGGGGCCGTCAGGTGAAGCGGCGGGCCGCTGGATGCAGCGGCGGGCCGTAGGGTGCAGCGGCGGGCCGGCAGGTGGAGCGGCGGGCCGTAGGGTGCAGCGGCGGGCCGGCAGGTGCAGCGGCTGGGCCGTAAGGTGAAGCGGCGGGCCGCTGGGTGCAGCGGCGGGCCGTAGGGTGCAGCGGCGGGCCGGCAGGCGCAGCGGCGGGGCCGTCAGGTGAGGCGGCGGGCCGTAGGGTGCAGCGGCGGGCCGTAGGGTGCAGCGGCGGGCCGGCAGGTGCAGCGGCGGGGCCGTCAGGTGCAGCGGCGGGCCGGCAGGGCCGCGTCAGAGCCGGCGGCGGGGCCGCGTCAGTGGAGGCGGCGGGGCCGCGTCAAGCAGGCGGCGGGGCCGCGACGTAGCGGGCGGCAGGGCCGCGTCAGAGCCGGCGGCGGGGCCGCGTCAGTGGAGGCGGCGGGGCCGCGTCAAGCAGGCGGCGGGGCCGCGATCAGGAGGGGCAGCGGGGCCGCGAGGGAAATGGCGACCCGAGGGGTCGCTAAAAAAAAATGCGCGCCTCGGGGCGCGCTTCGGTGGGCCCTAAAAAAAAACGGTCCTTAGGAAGGACCCGCTCTATACCATGTGAAACAAGTGAACAGGGATGGAATGACTAAGGAAAGATTGGGTACAAATACAACCCTAGAAACCCTGTACCCCATATGTGCTACCCCACTATAGCCTACAGCAACTATGTCATATAAATTTGACAGAAACCAGTCAAACCCTAGACCGCCTAGGCAGGTTCCTTCTACTCGACTCAGTTTCGTTTCAAGGTAAGTTGCTGTTTTTCTTCTTCCTTTTTCTAACACTTCGCGTTTTATCCCCCCTACACCCCACTTCGCCCCTACTCCGGTAGGATTTCGTCTCCCTCTCAGGCCCCTTCTCATCTCTCTCAACCGCTGTAGTTTTCCCTGCTCTACGTTCCACGGTTGGACATCCACCCGTCTTCAGCATCCCAGGACAACATTCCCGCCAGGTAAGTATTTCCGATCCTGCAGAAGCCCTGCTCCCTTGCCGTAAATCCCTGCACAAACCCTCGTGTTTTTCTGCCAACGCACCCCTGCCACGCCACCCGATCTACCACGTGAACCCCCCCTCTCCCCCCTCCGTTTCCCCTTTTCCCAAGACCCTCGTTTGTGCAAGTTTGAAGCCCACGCCAACCGATCGGCCTCCTCCAACCAACCTTACAACAATCACAAAGGAGAGCTTCGCCAGCCCTCACTTCAGGCTGCTGGCCAATCTGACCCCCGCTTCTCCTCCCTCTTATCAGGCGGGATTCTCTCGCACCCACGTAACGCCATCTCCGGCTCCTCGCCTCATTTTCCTATCCCTTCCGTGCCTCGGCCCTCATGGCGTCTCTGACTTCATCTCGTTTCCTGCGTGGTGCTGCCACCCCACATTTGGCGCCAGCTCGGCGCTGGCCCCCCACGTCTCCCCACCCTGGCCACCTCCGGCCGTGCCACTAATGTGGCTAGGAAGCTCGGCGCGCCGCCTAGGCCGCCAGTTTCACTTTTCGCTCGCATGCGTCCGGACCCTCGTAAGGTCCCAGGTTTTGGGCAGCCGACTAGGCTCCCAGCCCCGTTTCATGGCCTTAATTCCGTCGTCACGGCCCCGTACTTTTCGCAACCGCTCGGTCCTCCCCGCCTTCCCCGCTCATCCCCCTCCCGCCTGCTCTCCGCACACCCCCCGCTCACGCTTTCTGCTGGGATCCCTGCACCCACGCTCCATTGCTTGCCAGGAGCTCATGCCGCCCGTCTCGTCTCTTGCCCCTTCTTTCCCTCTCGGGGTCTCCTTCTCTCGCTCTACATATAACGGACCTTTTCTTTCTCCCTACATTCACTTCACTTTTTTCAATCTCCCACGCCTCCCCAACTCTCCTTGCACTATGGCTGAGCAGATCTACAACTCCGACCAGACGATGTCCGCTGCCGAAGAGGAAGCACTTGTTGCCTCCGGGGAAGACCTTGCTGTGGACGATTTGCCCGAAGGCATGTTCCACCACCTCGGAGACCCTGCTGACCTCCCTGCTGCGAAGAAACCTGTATGGTTCCTGATGCCAGTCCCGCTCCCAATCCTTCCCCCTCCACCTCCTCCGGTTCGGCCCCGGCGCTCTCTGCACTCTCCCCCGCGCCCCTCGCTGTCGCTGCTCTCACTGCGCCCTCGTTAGGCCTGGCACCGTCGTTGGCCGCAACTGCAGCACCTCCCAACAGCCAGCCAACCCGCGCAACCGCCTATGCTTCCGTTGCCTCAGGTTCCAACCTGGCCCCCACGCTGCCCGCCTCGCTCTTCGCCTCGCCCACCCCGGGCGGCGCCCCCCGCAATCTGCGGCGCGCGCGCACGGATGCTGCTGCCCCGATGCTTTTCCCCCTGCGCCGCCGCGCGGTTATCAATGTTCTCCTCCCGGAAGCCGGGCTGGAGCCTCACCGCTCTGAAATTTTCTCTGCTGGCATTATCCCTTCCTTCGAGTAGACCGTAGGAGATCCCTACCGCGTGGCCCGCCGTGTGTATGGCCGCCTGCTCTTCTCATTGCCGTCACAGGAAGATGCGGCGGCCTTCCGCAAACTCTTTCCCCTCACCCTCAAAGTCTCCAACTCCCGCCCCCTGCTGCTCAAGGTGTTTGAGGACAGGTTTGCAGCCTTCACTACTGCCAAGGCTGCCGGCGCACCCACCCTGTCCATTCGCAACGTCCCTCTGGATTTCGATCCAGAGGACATCCGCTCCTATCTCCTCGGCTCCACCGATTCTGACGGCGCGCACTGGCTGGCGGATTTGACGGATTTCCACCGTGTTTCAGACCCCTACGAGGACACATACTTCACGCACCTCGCAGGGCTCCCAATCGCTACCCCCGACGACCCGAACTTCGAACGCATTCCATCCGAAATCCCGCTGGAAGAGAACAAGCCTCCCATGGTGCTCAACTTCTCCAGCCACGTGTGCGCTTTGTGCGCCAACAACCACCGCGCGTCTGACCACGAGGCTTTCGCAGCCCGCCGCCGGCAGCGCCTCACGAACCGGAACGTGATCTCGGTCGCGCAGCTGCAAAAGGCAAACGGTACGCTCCTCGAGAATCTCTCCCAGCGATGCTACCTCACTTTTTCCTTACCTTACCGCTCTGGCCCCCTCGTGCCCCCCATTCTGCTCCTCATTTTGGCATCTCTTCCCCTCTGTTACATTACCCCTCTGCTCTTCCAGAGTTACAGTTCTCACTCACCCTGCTCTGTCCCATTGCTGCCTCATCCCCCTCTGCCCTCCCTGCTAGGCCACCTCACCTTCTCCCTACCTCTCCGCTCTGGTCCCCTCGTGCTCCCCATTCTGCTCTCCATTCCGACATCTCCCCCCCCATGCTACACTACCCCCTTGCTCTTCCAGAGCTACAGTTTTCACTCCCCCTGCTCTGTCCCATTGTTGCCTCATCCCCCCCCGCCGTCCCAGCTATGCCACCTCACCTTGTTCTTACCTTTCCGATCTGGTCCCCTCGGGCTCCCCTTTATGTTCTTCATTTCGGCATCTCCCCCCCCTTTTGCATTACCCCCCCGCTCTTCCAGAGCTTCAGGTTTCACTCAACCTGCTCTGTCCCATCGCTACCTCATCCCCCTCCGCCCTCCCAGCTATGCCACCTCACCTTCTCCCTACCTCTCCGCTCTGGTCCCCTCGTGCTCCCCATTCTGCTCTTCATTTCGACATCTCCCCCCCCCTGCTACACTACCCCCCCGCTCTTCCAGAGCTCCAGTTTTCACTCACCCTGCTCTGTCCCAGCGGTGCCTCATCCCCCCTCCGCCCTCCCAGCTATGCCACCTCACCTTGTCCTTACCTTTCCGCTCTGGTTCCCTATTGTTCCCCTTTCTGTTCTTCATTTCGGCATCTCCCCCCCCTGTTTCACTACCTCCCCGCTCTTCCAAAGCTACAGCTCTCACTCACCCTGCTCGGTCCCATTGCTGCCTCACCCCCCTCTGCCCTCCCAGCTACGCCATCTCACCTTCTCCTTGCCTCATCGCTCTGGCCCCCTCGCGCTCCCTTTTCTGCTCTCCACTTCGATATCCCTCCCCCCCCTGTTACATTACCTCCCCGCTCTCCCAGAGTCACAGCCCTCACTCACCCTGCTCTGTCCCAGTGCTGCCCCATCCCCGTCCGCCCTCCCAGCTATGTCACCTCACCTCCTCCATGCCTCTCCGCTCTGGTTCCCTCGTGCTCCCCTTTCTAATCTACATTTCGGCATCTCCCCTCCCCCGTTACACTACCTCCCGGATCTTCCAGAGCTACAGCTCTCACCTCACCCTTCTCTCCCCCCACTCTCGCCCCTCCCTGCCAACAGCCCCCCCCGGGAACCCTCCTCTGTCTGCTCCCTCTCCCCCCGACTGCACTCTCCTCACCCCCCTCCCCCACAGCCCTCAGCTTTCCCCGCCCCCCTTGTGGCTGGGCACTTACTCAACCCTGCTCCCCTTTTGGCTGCTCCCCCCCGTTTCTGATTTCTTTCCCCCACGCAGGCAACATCCTGGGAAACCACGCTGCGCCGACCACCTTCCGCAACGACCCAGGCCTTATCTACATCGGGTTGGACGACAAGGTCGAGACATGGACGTGCGCGCTCTGCGATTTCACCTGTGGCGCTGCCCTGGACAGTGCCATGGTCCACATTCAATCCGAGCTGCATGCTTCGCGCGTGAAGGTTACGGCCCACCGCCCGGCAGCCAAGGAGGCTTTTGGCCCCTGGCGCGCTCTCACTCTGCAGAGGAAGCCTACGGTGGCTGCCTTCCTCCGTGGCTGAGACCTACGCCCTTGCATGACCGCATTGGAAGAGGCCTCCTTGCATATTCTTGGGTACACCCCTTCTTTGGCCCCCATTTAGGATATGGCTTTCTGGCCTGCTTGCATGCATTTCTTTCCGTCGTTATTATTATGTTGTTGCTCGTACCAAGGCCGACCTTGTTGAACAAGAATGAATGAACTAAGAGTGAAAATGAGTACAAGTATCAAAATCTAGGAATGTGTACCCCCTATAGGCTAACCCACTGTAGCCTAAACAACTACAACAACATATATAATGTTTGACACACCCCCATAGGCGAAGTGGGGGAGAACTAGGGGTCACAAGACCAGTCAAGTAAAGCAAAACAAAGCAAGCTCAGGGTGGATCACAACGTCACCACACAATCCAAGCACAAGTGCAAGGCCACAAGGCCAGTTCACATGCAGGAGTACATATATATATATAAGACTAAACAAGCAAGAGCAGTGATATATATATGTAACAGTACAAAGAAGGTCAAGAGGAGAGCACGTGAGGCAAGACAGACATAAGACCCAGCTGGGTACAGCAGCGCTGATGATCACAAGGCGGAAGTGCCTTGGTGAAGACATCAGCAGTGTTGGCCTCAGAGGCCACGTACGCAAGTCGCAACTGACCACGCTGCTGTAGCTCACGAGCAAGGAAGTAGCGGAGAGCAATGTGCTTTGTTCTGTGCTCCAGTCTCTGCTCCCGACACAAGGCCAGCATGGCCTTGTTGTCGACGTACAGGACTGGAGGAGAACGAGGCGGCTCTCCAAGGTCGGTCAGCAGGAAGGTGAGCCAGCGAAGCTCCTGAGCAGCCATGGCCCCTGCGTAGATCTCAGCCTCACAACTGGAGCCAAGAACAGAAGACGAGCGAGTAGCCCGCCACGAAACAGAGCCGGAACCAAGGCTGAAGGTGTAACCCTGTGACGACCGCTGCGTAGCCTGGTCGTCAGCCCAAGAAGCGGCTGTGTGTCCAGTGAGGACCACTGGACTCCGCCCTCCAAGCACTAGCCCCATGCCCGACGTACTGCACAAGTAGCGCAACACCCTCTTCGCTGCAGCCATGTGCTGTGGTCGGTGTCTCCCAGGAGCAACATAGCGTGCAAGAATGCTAAGAGGGTATGCAAGGTCAGGTCGTGTGCAGGACATCAGGTACATGAGACAGCCAACAAGCTCTGGGTACGGGCCACTCGACTCTACGGACTCATCCGAAGGCAGAGCTGAGAGCGAGTGGCGAGTAGACAGAGGAGTGGCCTGAGGCGAGGAGTACGTGAAGCCGAAGCGCTGAAGGACCTGCTGCACCATGTGTGACTGAGTCAGGGTAATGGTGCGGCGTGCTCTGACCCGGGTGATCTGCAAGCCAAGGTAGCTGCGCAGTTCACCCAGGTCAGTGCACGTGTGTCTCTTCAGCAGCTCGGACTTCACGTAGGCGAGTCCAGTAGTGTCAGCTGTGGCAAAGACCAAGTCGTCGACGTACACGAGGATGTAGAACGGCGGCAGAGAGGTGTCGGTGCGCAGAAACAGCGACGGGTCGGCAGTAGACGGAGCGAACCCAAGAGCCGCAAGCGTAGTCCTCAGTGTGTCGTGCCACTCACGTGGCGCCTGGCGGAGACGGTAGACTGGACGCCGGAGACTCCACTGGGTACCAGGAGGGAAAGACCCAGTGAAGCCAAGTGGGCGGCGCAGCCACATCTCCTCGTGCAGGCTGCCCTGCAGGAAAGCTGTGCTGAAGTCAAGAGAGTGCAGCTCGTAGTCCCGGTGAGCAGCAACGTGCAGCAGTACCCGAAGAGTGGTCATCTTCGCGGTGGGGGAGAAGGTCTGAAAGTAGTCAACTCCCTGTCGCTGACTGAAGCCACGAGCCACGTAACGCGCCTTGAAGACAGGCGGAGAACCCGGCGGCCGCTTCACCCTGAAGATCCACATACCACTGACGATGTTCGCCCCAGGAGGGGGGACAGCGTCAACGTAGGTGCCTGTGGACTTCCAGGAAGCCATCTCTGCATCCATAGCTGCCTGCCACTGAGAGGAGTAGGGACCCTCTATCGCCTCCGCGTAAGAGCGCGGAGTCGGGATGTCAAGTGCATCCGGGTCTCCCTCAGGGGTGAGCAGTACGGACACGAGATGAGGTGAAGCAGCTGCCAGACACTGGAACTCCTCCTGCCTGTCCTCAAGGACGTCCGTGCCAAGGGCACACTCACCCCCGACGGACGGAGGACAGACAGACTCAGACTCAGCGACAAGACTAGCAGCGTAGTCTAAGCGACAGCGAGCAGCAAAGTCGACGAGCTTAGTAACGAGAGCAGACGCAGCAGTAGACTCGAAAGAAGGGTCAGTGACAACAGTAGCAAGGAGACGCGTGACAGTAGGACTGGCAGCACGAAGAGAGTCCGACTCAGGGTCGGCAAGAGCAGGAAGAGAGGACGCAGGAGGAGAAGGCAAAGGGGCACGCAGAGGAGCAGTAGACGGACGTAGAGACATCTGGTGCGTGCCAGGGGCAGGGGGAGGACGCTGGCGCGAACTACGAGCACTAGCGCTAGCAGGACGGACAGGCGACGCAGGGCGAGACGCAGACTCACGACACTCAGTAAGACCGCCAGTAGGACCAGTGTAAGGAGAAGGAGCAGGTAGTGGGGAGGCCGGCTGCAACTGTAACTGTGACGGGACAGGCTGTGAACACGCTAAGGGAGGAGGACCAGGAGGAGGCGAGAGACCAAGAACCTGCTGAAGGAGCGGAACGAAGTACGGCTGAGGGCGCGCGGCGACTCCAGACACAGCAGGGACAGCACCTATACCCCCAGCGGCAGTACCAGAACCAGCAGCAGCTCCAACGCCCGGGTCCTCAGCACCAGCAGAGGCACCAACACCAGGGTCCACAGCACCTGCCGCAGCTCCAACGCCCGGGTCCTCAGCACCAGCAGGGACTCCGACACCAGGGTCCACAGCACCAGTCGCAGCTCCAACGCCAGGGTCCGCAGCACCAGCCTCAACCCCAACGCCCGGGTCCTCAGCATCAGTAGCACCTCCAACCCTCGGGTCCGCAGCACCAGCAGCAGCTCCAACGCCAGGGTCCGCAGCACCAGCAGCAGCTCCAACGCCCGGGTCCGTAGCACCAGGGGCAGCCGGGTCCGTGAGACGAGGCGCACCACTCCAAAGTGTGCAACGGCGCTCGTACCACTCACGGATCTGCTCACGAGAGGGGAGCTCCCGACTAGGAGGAGAAGTACCAGCCCCAGTCCCTGTAGTGCGCCTGGTCCCAGAGGTAACACCCCGGAGGCTGCAGTACTGTAAGTACCACTCACGCAACTGCTCCGAGGAGAGGTCGCGTCCAGGTGTAGCACCCTCAGGCCCAGCACCGCAAGGCTCAGCACCCCCAGTCACCGCACCCCCAGGCTCAGCACCCCCAGGCTCAGTACCCCCAGTGTCCGCACCCACAGGCTCAGCACCCCCAGAGTCCGCACCCCCCGGCTCAGCACCCCCAGAGTCAGCACCCCCAGGCTAAGCACCCCCAGTCTCCGCACCCCCAGGCTCAGCACCCCCAGCAGGACGAGAGTCGACAGCTACCTCAACAGGCTCGACCGGGTCTACCTGAGACACACCTGAGGGAGCGGCACCCTGAGGGGGGAGGGGGTCTACGACAGCAGCACCTGGCGCGAGGAAGAGAGGCGGGGGTAGAAGCGGGGCAGTGCGGTAGGGAAAGAGGCGGTAGTAGGGGACAGACTCGTCAAAAGTGACGTCCTGAGAGGGCAAGACCCGGCGCGAGGTGGCGTGGTAAAACTGCCAACCAGGCGCGTCCGGAACAAAGCCGAGGAAGACGCAGGGAACAGCACGGGAGGAGAGCTTGTCCGCAGACGAATCGCGGACAAAAGCTCGAGATCCCCAGACCCGGAAACGTGACGCATCGCCAACCTCCCCCGTCCACAGCAGTGTGGGCGAGGTCTCCGGCAAGGAGACACGGGGCCAGAGGTTGAGCTGATGCGCAGCGTACCGGACCGCAAACGGCCACAGAAAGTGGGGGGCAGCCGCATGGATCAAGGAGGTACGAGCGACCTCCATGACCAGGCCAATGCGGCGCTCCGCAACCCCATTCTGCTGTGGAGAGGCCGGAAGCGTGAACGACTGCTCAATGCTGTGCTCAGCACAGTAGGCTGCCAAGAGGTCGAAGGAGAACTCACCACCTCTGTCAGAGTGCAAGCGCAGGACAGGAAAGTCCGAGTGAAAACGCTCGCTGAGCTGGAGACGAGCCCTGCGGATCCAAGGGATCAAAACATCAGGGACCTCACCCTTTGCGCGCAAGGGGAAGACCGTGGTGTAGCGCGAGTAGTCGTCAACAACGATCAGGAAGTACCTCTCCTGACCCTGACCACGGACGCGGGCTGGGCCCCACACGTCCATGTGGAGCGTCTGCAAAGGAGCAGTCGTCGGGGGAAACGAGGAGGAGTGAGGAGCGGCGCGCTGCCGCCCCTCGACACAGGGAAGACAGGGAGGAGCAGGCGAGGGTGGGAGGGGAGGGAGGACCCTGGGAAGACCAGAGACAAGGTACCGGGAGTGCATGGCACGAAGGCGCTGCACAGACGGGTGGCCCAGTCGGTGGTGCCAGAGGACAGTCTCGTGCGCTAGAGAGCGACACGAGCAGGGGGCGGACAGCTGACCTGACGCGGACGCAGACGCAGACGCAGCGACCTGAGGGGGGGCAGT